AGAAAAGTTAACTTGACTATTGTAGATTTTTTAACTTGTTTTTTTGTGCAGAGGTCTTGTTTTCCAAGGTTCATGTTTTGTTTTTAAAGAGTTAAGAGTGGTTCGTAATCTCAATAAAATAAAATAAAAGTAACCCCCTTGACTGTAGCCTCAGCCTTTGAGAGGTGAATAAAATAAAAAGCATTAAATCAGAAGATATTGAAAATTGCATTTTGTAAAAGAAATAAATAAAATTTGTTTCTGAAAAGAACAGACTAAGTTAAAATTGATGGTGAAAAGTTTTTACACCAAAGAGTCATTAATATATGAATCACCTGTATTAGGTGGTATTTGAGAAAAACAATGATATTTTTATATATTTTTGTAGTTATTTACCTTAAGGCCAGTTTAGTTTAAGCACCAATGAAAGCAAAATCGTAGTCAAAAAAAGAAACTTAAACCAGATCAATTTTTAATAAACTTTGATTATTCAAAAAAATTTTTTAATTAAAAAAACAAGCTATGCATTGCTGTTATCAGGATGCTGTCCAGGCTGCATGCTGGTAACAGTTATTACCTTATTTATTGTTATTTTAAATGTTATTATTGTTGTTGTTTTTTATCTATTGTTAAAACCAAAATCTGTTTTAATAATTTTTTGTTTTATTGTTATCTAATGTAAACATTAAAAAAAAAAAACACATATGTGACTAATATGATATTATTATATTATGTTTAAAAATGCCTCTATTACGTGAGATATTTGTCCTTTATTGTATTAATTACATCATAGGTTATTTTATGGAGTTATGCACTTGAATTAAAGATCAACTCATGCAAGAGTATATGTGTGTGTGTCTATGTATTATGTATGTATATATATATATATATATATATATATATATATATATATATATATATATATATATATATATATATTATATATATATACACATATATATAAGTCCTTGAAATGTCTTAGGAACGCCAGCGTTTAAAAGTACTGGATGCAGCACGCCAAGCAGCTGAAGATGAACTTAAATCAGCACATTTAAAACTTAAAGAAGCTGAGGAGGAGAGGCAGTTAGCTTCATTAAAAGTTGAGCTAGCAAAGGAAAAAACTAGAAAAATAAACTTACCGGTTGGATTAGCAAAACCACTTGTTGTAAGTTTAGATATTTTATTTTAGTATTGATATTATTTTACAAATGTTACTTTTGAATTTTTTTTCAGAATTTATGTTATTATTTTTACACATAATAATTAAACTTTATACAATTTCAATTGATCAGTATTTTGTATATATTGGAATTTGTCTTTATATATTTTGTTGAATTTATCTTATTGTTGAATTTGTTTAAGATGTTTTATAAATATTTTACATTAATAATGCTGATTTTATTCTTAAACTGACTTGTTTTTAATTGAAAAATGTTTCTTGGTTTCCTTTTAATTTGTATTGTTTTAGAATAGGCCAATTATCTATAAATATTTGTTTATATGTAAACATATCATTTCACATATATTTATTTATTGTAGTTATAAAAGTTCATTGTATACATTTAAAGTTATTTGAGAAAATTTTAAGCAGTTGCAGAAAAAAGAAGTTATTTGCAGATATTTAACAATCATAGTGCTAACTTTTTGGTTGAAATTTGAACAGTTTTTTGAATTTATTTAAAAAGATACTTAATCATTTCTAACATTTTTTTCTGAAGAAATTTTTTTTGCTTTTATTTGAACAAAATAGTTTGTTGAAATGATATCTTGAAAGCTATGATATCTTTAAATAATAGTTTAATTATTTCTAAAGTGTTGCATTTTGTGTCATTTTTTTGTAGAGTTAATTTATATATCTTTTATTTTAATCTTTTAAAATTAATTTTAATAAAAAAAAAAATTTAAAGCTATGTTTGTGACATAAATAAATATATATATATATATACATATATATATATATATATATATATATATGTATATATATATATGTATATATATATATACATATTTAACAATATATATATATATATATACATATACATACATACATACATACATATATATATATATATATATATATATATATATATATATATATATATATATATATATATATATATATATATATATATATATATTGTTAAATATGTATATTTGTTTTACTCAGTATTCTACTCAAATTATTTAAGATCATTACCAGATCTTGTCAAAACTAAATTTGTTATTTCTGCTTTTTAATTAGTGTAAGCATTCAGTCAGGTACCTGATGTCAAATTTATACATTGTCATGTATAGATCTGGGGTCAAAGCATTGTTATGAATGGAGAGCGAAATCTTAATCACATATGCTGAGGAATAATTGAGCAAATTTTAAATTTTGTGTTGAAATAGTATTAACTTCCTAAAAGTATTAAATGATCTTTTTTACTGTAAGTTTCAGTTCTAAAATGTAAAAATAAAAATTACTTGCTAGTCTAAGCTAACTTTTGACTAGCCTTATTGTCATGGCCTAATTGCCATGATATCTTCATTTAGTGACAATTTTCTTTTTGTACTATTTCAATATTCTTTGAATAAAAGGTTTACACATTGTAGCTATATTTAGTTTTTGCTCAGTTTATTTTTGGTAAATTTTAGTTTTGACAATTGATTTTGTTTTCTTTTTGTCAATATATATTCTACACCACTTTTTACGCCAATATTGATATTACACTACTTTTCAATTTTTTATTTTTGTTTTGTTTTCTATTTAACTTTTGATGAAAATTTCAGAATTGATATAAGATTTTCACATACTTTTGAATATAGAAAATTTCAGGCAATTTTTTTAACATTTCTAATACTAGTCAGTAAAAATGACTCAAGAAAAATTGTATTTTTTTTAATGTAGTTTTAGGTAAAATTTAATTTAAATTATCCAAAATCATTACAAAACCATTACAAGATTCATTGCAAATATCTATGTATTTTGTTCTAATTCACTCTTAACAAGTCTGCAAGCAACCACTATTAAGTTGGGAGTTACTAGGAAAAAAAAAAAGATTTAGAGAGTAAAGAAATGATTGATAGAAGGCTTAAAAAGTGTAGGTTGTATTAGTCAGGAAAACATGAAGATGGGAGAGAGTTCCAGGGTTGAAGTATGGGGAAAAAAACTAGACAAAAGAAAGTTATTAGAGCATGCAGGGGCAAAAAGAGTAAACAAATGAAACTTGGCTAAAAGAATAATCAAACGAGAATAAGTTTTTGATACACCAAAAACTTTCCCAGATACGTCATATAAAGCAAGCTTACGGAAAAGACCAACATGTCAAATTTTGTCAAAAGCAAAAGATATGTTGAGAAGTTCTAGAGAACGATTTTGTAAGACTATGACAGGAATGTTGTCTGGACCACAAGATGTAGGTTTAAGCAAGAATTAAGAGAGATTTAAGAGTGGAATTTGAAGAAAAGTTCTTTGCAAATAGTTCTTCTTTATCCTAAGAAGAGGTAATAAGATCAGTTCAATGAATGAGAGGTTGATTTTTGTTAATGACGCTGCATTGAAGATTTTCCAAAAGTCTCTAGAGCCTAACTTCTGAGATAATTTGAGACTAATTTGAGTTGTCTCATCGTGTTATCTTAGTGTTGATGGTTCAGCTGTCTCATCATGTGATCTTAGTGTTGATGATTCAGCTGTCTCATCATGTGATCTTAGTGTTAATGGTTCAGCTGTCTTATCATGTGATCTTAGTGTTGATAGTGATCATGTGACCTTAGTGTTGATGGTTATGATGATAAGACTATTGTGACTGTTAGAGTCTTTTCCTTTTATATATTTATTTATTTAATTGCTGCAGTGAGCAAATGCTTACTGAGTGGTTATCCACTTTAGCAGCAAGTTTAATAACTACAATTTGAAATTTTAATTTACATAATAAAGTTCATCAAGACTTTTTTTAAAGTTTAACACTGACTTATTAAGTTCGACATCAAACAGCAAATTGTTCCAAATCGGAATAACACGATTAGAAAAAAAATTCCTTCTACTTGAGTGTCTACAGGTCTCAGAAGTATATATATAATTGTGGATATTGTCACAAACTCTTTCAGCTGGTCCAGTTGGTCGACAAAAGTTCATTGGAAACATACTGTATTTAGCTGCTAAGAATTATTAAGACATTTTAAAAAGTTAATTAAATTTCTCTTCTCATAGATAAAGTTGTTAAATTAAGTCTATTTAATCTTTCCTCATAAAGAAGCTCTGAATTAAAATTAAATCCTTCCTCATAAAGAAGCTCTGAATATCCTGGAATTAGTTTTGTTGCTCTATGCTGCCTTCGATAAGATTAATGTCTTTTTTTTTTAATTGGATTCCAATTAAAAGACATATTCTAGGTGAGGGTGTACTAGAGAAATATTTAACAATTTAGGTGCAGGGCTGGAATTAACGCAAAAAAAATCTATTTGCAAAAAAAAAAAAATTTACCACTCTCTCCCCTCCCCTCCCCTCTTCTATACCTTGCGCCGCTTTGCGGTAATGGGGGGGGGGAGGGAAGTTGCGTTAGTATATAAATGTAAGTTTTGTACGTAATTGTTCTATTTTTAACATTTTATCTCTTATTTAAATATAATCTTATAATTTTCTTGTTTGGCAGAGTTTGAAATAGCGTAAGTTACTGTTATTATTTACAACTTAAGTTATAACTTAAAGTTTAAGTTGCAGTTGTAATGAGCAATAACGTTTTTAATACTATTAAGATATTTCTTTAAGTATATTTTTATTTTACATGATACTTAAAAAAGTAAAAGTAAAAAAGTAGGACAAAAAGCAACATTATAATATCTAAACCACTTTAATTAGTCAAAGAAAACTATTTAATACGTTCAGGCTGACGTTAAAACACGAGTTAATTTTAAAAAGTTTTTAATTGTTAAAAGCTTCAAAAAAACATTAAAACAAACTGCAAAGTTGTTTTAAAAATATAAAGAGCTTTGAATAATGTAAAACAAATTTGTGATGCTGTTTTGTTTTGAGTTATTCAGTTTATAAAATAAAACGCGTTTAAAATAAAAAGAAGCATATAAATAAAATTGAGCTAGTTAACAAACTAAAACAAAACTTCATATTTGCGTCTATAGACCTATACGAGTTTATATTAGATACCACATCTTTTATAAATAATCGTTTCCCTGATCGATCGTACTATTAAAAATTTAAGTATAAATAAGTTTTTCATTCAAAAAGTTTTTATTTTTATTCTAATAGTTTTCCATAAAAAAGTGAAACAAAAAATTTTGTTTAATAAATCGAATTATATTAAGTGTAAGAATATCCTTAAATTATTTTAGAAAAAAAAATTTTCGAACAGAAGTAAAATAATTTATTAAATTTAATTTAAAATTTTTATAATTTTTATTTTAACTTGCAATTTGCAATCACAACTTTGATGTTTGCAATAGAATGTTTCTACTTTTAAAACTATTTTCAAGAAAAAATATTTCAATAAATAATTCAAAACGTTAACAAAATTTACGATTTACAAAAAAAAAACTTTCATCTTCATTCTCCCTTGTTTCATCAAACTTTTTTTAAATCTTTAAATTTTTTTTCAATTTCAAATTTCAATCACAAAATTATTTGAATAAGTGAATTTTAAGGCTAAAGTTCTCTTGTTCTAATAGATTTCTTTTTAAATAAAATACCTGAAAACAACTTGCGTATTTTTAGAAAATGTTTAGTCTAGATATCGCTATAAATAAAATGAAAATATAAAAAAATGGTGTCGCGTTTTTCATATTCAGTTTGACAATTTTTGTAAAAATAATTATTAGTTAAAAGCTTATATTATGTTTTAACAACATGTATGATCTAAATTGAAACATGTTTATGGCTAACTTTTGTGAGTATATTAAATAAATTAATATAATTGTTAAATTAATACTTAAGTAACTATCTTAAGTTACTATCTTAACTTAACTGGTTGTATTAATTTAGGTTATAAGTTAATTTACTGAGATATATTCTATTCATTCAGTAAAGTTAACTAAATATAACTTCAATAGTTTCAAGTTCGTTAAAAGTGAAAAACGTGAAAGCAAAAAAATTGCTGGTTTCTATTAGTACAATTTTACTAATAGAAATTTTATTTAATAAAAACAAATTAATATATATTTTATTATACTTAA